TAGGGTTACACTTTGCCCAGGGCCAAAGGTTGTACAGTACCCTATGGCTTCAGGAAGGCTTAGCAGCCTGACCTAACCTCTAAAGCCTGGCACTCAACCCCCATAACAGGTTTTAGGGTTTAGGGTTACCCGCCCCTGAACCCCTGAACTCCCACGACCCCGAACCCTCACGAGCGAAACGGTTTTACTCACTTGGTTCCTGCAAAGTGTCGCTTTGTAACCCTGAGGAAACCGTCAACGGTAGATTCCTGAAACCCGAGGCCCTAAAAATGGAACCGAACCGGGCGACTGAGGGTTTCAGGAGTCTAGGACTGAGGGAACTATTCTCCTTAGCCATTCAAATGTACACATCTGCAATTACTTAGCAAGAGTGTTCGTATAGACTGACCCTGGCTGAAACCCTAATCCTCAACTTTTCGCGCAGGCACCTTGCATTGGGCCGTCTGGCAAGCTTTGCTCGAGGACTGATGGGCGAATGAGGGAGGAGTTCCATGTAGAGGCTCGTCAAAAGATATCGGACACATTAAGGTTCGTGTTATAACAGGAACCAGGAAGGCACCAAAGTTATAGCAGGAACCAAGAAGGGACCAAAAGGGTGATAACCTACCATATAGTATGTATGCATTGGCATAGGTTGCTTCCGCAGAAGCACTCGCGATTGTCACCGCAGTCAACGACAATTGTAATGTACTTGGACTTACAGCTCCGCAAGGATTGTTGTGGACATCATGTGGACATCATGTTGCGGACACTAGAACTGGACAATCGGAAATTCTGCCGGACAACTTGATATGAAGTCCTACAAAACAATAGAACCTTATATCACAACCCGCGAAAAGCCACAGCACGTAAGAAATCCTGCAAGATTCGCCCCAAATCCTGAACCCAAATCAAACCTATACCATTACACCTCAACCCCCCAAACCCCAAACCCTAGAGGCTCCACCCTACACTTAACACCTTTCCACCCTACATCAAACACCCTCAACCTTGAACCATCAACCATGAGCCCCCAGCCTCAACCCTAAACCCTCAGCTCTAGACCCCATCCCTAAACCATCAACCCTGTGATCTCTGAAACTTAAGCCATCAACCCTCAACCTTAAACCCGCAACCCCAATCCCTGAACCTTGAACCCTCAACCCGAAGCCCTTGAACTTAGACCACGAACCCGCAACCCTCAACCTTTAAAAGTTTCAACCCTGAATACCCAACCGCTTAAGTGTATAATCCCTCAACCTTACACCCGCAACGCAAAAACCCTCGACCGCAAACCTCAACCCTGAAACCTCTATCCGCAAACCCTCAACCCGAAACCCTCGGCCCTCAACCCTATAATCTCTTGACCTGAGACCTTCAACCCTAACCTATTGACATCAAACCCTCAACCCTGATCCCGAACCTACACTACTCTAGTTGACATTTCCACTTCCATTATAAACCTAACTACCAATCTCTTCAACTAAGCCCTAATCCCTATAAACCCTATGCTCTAGATGACCCCTCGACATCTCCTATATCCCCTAACCCCCTGGGTAGGCCCCATATTTTCCCTAATGGCTTTAATAAGGGACCCTATATATTCATTTTTTACTAACGGTTTTAGGGGCCAACCCAGACCGTAAACTCTTTTCAGGAGTGCACTCGCTGCCCGGACAAAACCGTGGCAGAGGCTTCGGCCATGCATGTGACGCGACTTGGGCCAGACTTGACGTCTGCCTTAGGAGCGGTTTAGGGCTTAGGGTTTAGGGGGTTTAGGGTTTAGGGTTTAGGGGGTATAGGGTTTAGGGTTTAGGAGTCCCCTGAAAGGGGCTAGAGGGGGCAGATTAATGCAGGGCTTACATAGGATTTATACAGGGGTTTAAGGTCCCTATAAAGGGGCTATATAGGGTTTAGGGATTGATCAGGGTTTAGGGCCAAAGGGCTCTATAGGAACAAATAGGGACCAGAGAGGGTTCAGGGTGTAGGGATATTACACCAATATTGGATACTATCTTAACTGTAGAAATTTAGAAAGGGCTTACGCAGGGACTATCGAAGGTTCTGGTTTAGGGATATTACGCCAATACTGGAGAATCACAAAAAGAAAATAGACATGACATGGAAACTGGGCCTGTATAGGTGTTAATAGGATGTGCGGACTGCTTTAGTTAGGGCTAGAGGGGATATGTAAGGATATATAGGCTTGGGGGCTGCTTTGGGTTGATAAGGGGCTCTTGAAACTGGATAAGGGGAGGGGGATAGGAGTCTTGGGGTTTAGGGCTTGAAGTCTCGTAATCTTGGGGGGTTTGTAGGCGTAGGAGTATATGAGATTTTGGGATTATGGCTCAGGTTTCCCCAGTGTTGGAGAGCAGGCCCATAACTTAGCATTCGAGACTACACAAACGGAGGACATGTCCGTAAAAGGGGGGCATAGGGGCACATAAGTATATACCTTGTCCTAAACCCTAAACCCTAAACGTTACATTGCAGGATTTGGGGTATAGGGGTTGACGGTCACGGGTTTGGGTTTTGCGCTGGGTGGAGGAGATCTTTAGAGCTTGTTGGGCAGGAGGAGGAAGCTATTACGTTTAGGATTGAGGGTTGCAGCCGAAGCAGCAGGGACAGCAAGAGTAGTCTGAAATATGGCCTCGCAATTTCTGGAACTCTGAGGCCGTAACCTCTACATCTTGCGCTGAAAAGAGAGACTGCAGGATGTTGCTCGCACCATTCGGCCATGAAACAAGTTGTGAACAATGGAATACAATGGAGCATGAAATACAAATGGGCAGTACAATCAAAACACCGTCAGTATACGGGGCCTATATGTATGCCATAAGTGCAAAAGGAATCTAGCACCGCAACATTGGTAGTCGGTCAGGCTTATACATACGCATCCTGCCTTTGTGGGGGATGATGCTTATCTTGCACTCCACTGAGTCCACAGGGATTTAAAGAAGCAACCCTGCAGCTACGCGTAGCTGCTTGTGACAGCGTTTCTGCGGGGCGTGGTCTGGACATGGCGGGCTCTCACATACGCTTTGAAGTTGCCTCTTTTTTTTTTCGGCGTTGCACATGGCATGGGACTTACATAAGTTGATTGAGGTGACAGAATTAAGGTTCCGGATTCGTCCAGAAGATTGACCCAGACATGCAGTAGCACGACATAACTACGCGAGCTGATGGTCGCTGCAATCCCCGCAAGAGAAGCTGTTTGAGTTCAGGGCTTAAAATCTAAATCTCAGAACCCAAAACCCAGAGGATCCAAGTACCCAATAATTAGGTACTTGGGTTTTGGGGAATAGGAATTATAGTACAGGTTTTTGGGTAAGTATATGATTCTTAGGTACTTGGACCCTTAGGGAAACAATCTTCATATCCCAGCTGTTGAGAATTCTTATCATGGGAAGTTAGACCCTGCTACTTATTTTAGGGTTTAGGGGTTTAGGGTTTAACTGCTGAAAGGCCAGCAGAAACCACGGCGTGAGCCCCTAAGAACCAAAAACCCCCAAGACTCTCCTAGTACCCTAAACCCTACACCGGCTAATTATGGACGTATGGCCCCTGATAGGGGGTACTCAGGTCCAACCCTAGGTGTAGGCTTTAGGGTGTAGGGTTTAGGGTCTAGGGCTTAGGATTTAGGGTTCCTGTGGGTCTAGGAATGTAGAACCAATGTCCTCCCTGAATTGCCTGTGTAGTTATAGTCCCCCTTAAGTGGATAGATTATGGGGTATATGGGGATCTTATTATAATCTATCCAAAACCATCTTCTATCTAGTTAAGGGCGACTAAATACAACTGTAACTTCACAGGCCCTGCTTCCCTCTTACCTGGTTTAGGGTAGCTTTAGGGTTGTGTCATAGGCCCTCTACATTACAAACAAAGCCTCAAGCTAGACAGCCCAGGAACGTTGACATCTTTCCATGCCCAGATCAAGCGTCAGGCTCATCTTTGGTATGCTGAATGGCTCACAGAGACTGATACGAATTCCAGTAATAGTATTGGCTGCCTAACTCTAGTAACAGCAAAAAGATGTTCTAGCAATTCGGGTTCGGGGTGCTAGGGTTCTTGGAGTAGTGATAGCAGAATAGAGAGGATACTGGACATGAAGTTGGATATCCCGACGAAGGGGTGGGGCATAGCGGCATAGCGGCCCGGATAGGCATCGCCCCTGAATTTTTGACCCGGGCATTCTATTTACAAAGAACTATGAGTGCCGAGGCTTTATGGGAAACATGTCCCGGCACACCCGAAGTCTAGTTACGTATAGATACACATCTTTACATTCTCCCTGGACTCCCATTATACTGCCAGTTGAAGCAGGACTTTAGATTGAAGACGCCTGCGCTGCTTAACTGAGGTTTATGTTTTGGGGTTTAGGGTTGATTCTAGCACCAAAGAATACAGGCAGGTACACTTATTAAGGCACCCTACCCTTCAAATTAGGGTTTAGGTTAAGTAAGGATTTGGGCTTTATGGTTTAGGTATTTTTGGTTCTATGCGGCTTTACTGGAGGCTACAGGGCCCCACAAGATGTGGGATTTGGAGAGCCCTAAACCCAAGCTGAGTAGTATTTGATTTGGGGATGCCATGGTATGCCCAATACAGAGTAAGATTATATCGTCCTTTGGGGTATAGTATCTTATATCAGGAATATACTCAGCTAGCCTGATGGCTACGAAGTCATCAGACAAAACCAAGTTACAGTATCAGCCTGACACCAAAAGGACTAGGAGGAGATAATGTTCAAAACACGAGTATTCCTAAACCCTAGACTCCCGAAATCCTATCTACTACCTGGACCCCAAAAGTATGGAAAATAATGGCCTTTACGGCTGTTATTTATGGGCTTAGGACTATTGTTTTACATACATTTGGGGTTTAGGTAGACTCCATAAATCCTATCTACTACGGGTTTCTAAAGACCCCAAACCTGCAACCCGCGCAACATGATTTTTGTCATTTTGGCTGCAGCCACGGACAGCCCTGCTCCGGTCTGCCTACCTCTGTCAGCACTGGTCATGGGTGGCGCAGCGTCAGCACAAGGTTTGGCGCAGCTGAAAGGCACAGGGTTTGGGTGTCCCTTTGAAGGGGTTGTGGGGGATATAGAAGGTCGTTTAGGCCGTATTGACTAGGGTTCAGGGTTTAGGGATATTGTCTCCCAATAATGGAGAACTGAATGGACAAGAAAATCAACACGACATGGAAAATGGTGTTATGCTGGGATTTATTGGGGTTACTTTTATAAGTATGACCCAGCATGAGTTCGGGGCTTCAGGCTTTAGTGCTGAAATAATAGTTGAGGATCTCAATGCCGTGGATGTATGGTCCAAGCCCCAAACACTATAATTCTATGATATACTAAACATGGGAACTAAACATGGGACCCTACGCCCTCAACCCCAAACTCCTCCAACCCTCTACCACATGAGCAGACTCCAAGCCTGATTGACACTAAAGTGTTCCTGGCATTTCGTCGCTCGTTCCCCATACTTGAAGTCATAACACTGCCCTTGAAGGGAGTTGTTCCCACATGAGTCTTCAATAATCTGCCGATAAAAGAAAGCCTGTCAATCTCCTGTAGCTACACGCATAACCCTCTAAGGCTTCGATCTCCCTGGTTGAAGAGAGCCATGTTGAAGTTGCCCGAGACCTGAAGTGCCATATAGGGTTTAAGATTTAGGTCTGAAAGCCCTATAAACCCTAAAACCCTAAACCTTAAAAATGCCTTAAACCCCCAAACCTTAAAACCCTAAAACTCTGTACCCTACACCATGCAGTATTTGGTAGTTTCCCAAAATAAGGGGACCCCTATGTAGACCCTGAAATACTATAATCCTTATTCTGGGAACCCCCAAATAGGTACCCCTAATTTTGGGAAACCCCCATTTGTCCAGCAGAGCCGATAAAAACCATGTTGTGAAGCCGCCAGGTGCCAACATTGCTGATCTCAAGGCTTTGCTGAAGGACCCAAGAGAGGTTTAGAGATTAGGGTTTATCCTTTATGAAAAGTGTTCCCAATAGAGTGCCCTTTAGTATGTATTGATGTGTAGTCTTTGCTATGGGGCTGAGAGGTTTCATTCTGAGGGAGAGGTGCGGAACGGGAACTTGGGAACTGCGCATGTGTAAAGTTGAAGGGCATGTAGCCATTTGTCCATGTTTGGGGGCCCTCAGTTCAGGGCTTTACTTTTCCAATCGAGGCTCGACACAGCAGTCTACAGTTTCCAGGCTCTTCTGCTGAAGTTCTACCATGGAGCCCCAAACGTGCAGAGACTCAGTGATGCTTAAGGGAGAGCGTTGAGGTGGATGATGATACTAATCCCCGTACAACCCCCATATATGCCCGTATAATGATCCTTGTATTCATTCCTCCACGACTCCTTAAGCACCGGAAAGGAGATGTTTGAGGTTTGAGATACATAAACCGTAAACCCTGAACCCTAAGCCCTAAACGCTAAACCCTAAACCCTAAACCCCTAACTAATCTGTCCCACACAAGCACCTTGGAGCTTTCAGGGGATGTTAGAAAAGACGGAGCCCTTGGGGATGGCTTGCTAGAAGTCGTTGGGTGTGGTACTGTGAGTTGTTATCACTTACTTGGCCAATAGAAGAACTTGAACCTTTTTTGGGCTTCCTCTCTATGATAAAGTTTAAGCTTTTTTGGCCTGGGTTATTGGGGAAGAGAGATCATTATGTTACTATTACTGGGTCTAGGGTTTAGGGGTTTAGGGTTCTTGCTGTTCTTACTGTTGTTGCTAACATTGCTATGAAAGCTGTCATTGCTCTGCTTAGTGCTAGTAGGCTGTTAGTATTCTTGGATACGTGGAGTAGGACTTTGTGGGTGGTCACTGATCCTTTCGCGAAGTGTTACCCTAGTGCTGTTCCTTCAAACCTCGAGCACTGGACCAGAAATACCAAACCCTAACTTGAAATTCCGACGCCGCAAAAACCCCCAAATGAAAAACCCCGTCCCCCAAACCCTACGCCCAAACTTGAAACTCCAAACCACCACTGGAAAAGGAAAAAAAACGAGTTAAAGCTCCTTCTTGTAGGACCTCCCTGCAGATCAGAAGGCCGCTATCTCGGACCTATGATGGTTTAGGGTTTAGGGTCTAGGGTTTAGGGTTTAGGGCTTAGGGTTTGGGGTTTAGCGTTACCTTTTATGAGTGTCTTCTGGGAAGTGAAGGGTCCAGGGTGTAGTAATATAGGGGTTTCCCCAATCAGGGATCCCCTTTTTTGACCGTCCACATACCAAGGATTATGGTATTATTCCCGTTATTTTTACCATTATTATTAATATTCTTCTTCTTGTCATTTTGGGGGCTTAGGGTCTAGGGTTACAGGTGTACGGGGTTTTTGCGTTTAGGAATTTGGTTTCTGGTTCAGGGTCAGGAATTAGTGGCTCAGGGTCGAGGTTGTAGAGCTTGTATGGCCCAGGGAGAGGGCCAGGGCTTCAGCATAGCGCTGTAGATAGGTTCATGTGCACAATCCTGCATGACTTTCAACCCTAATTCTAAGGTTACCATGGATGCCTGCATATCAGTAGTTCATTGCAACATACTTGCCTTGAGCCACAGTTGTCTTATTGCTACCTCCGCATTGTCCTTGCAATCCATCTAGAGGAACCCTGTACCCTAAACCCTAAACCATTAAACCCCTAGACCATAAATCCCTAAACCCTAAATCCCTAAACCCTAAAAACCCTAAAACAACTAAACCCTCGTACCATTCTACAGAGGGCTACTGTCAATCAGGATCCCTACATAATCCCAAATCGGTAGCTCCAGAATCGCTGCACTGGGTAGGCCCCTGGGATGTTTAACATTTTCCCTAATGGCTTTAATAGGGGACCCTATATATTAGAATTTGTCAAAGGGTTTTAGGGGCCAACCCAGTGCAACATCCTTGGATATCTAAACCCTAGACCCTAAACCCAGATCCCTACATGACATGATATCTCTATGGTCTTACGATGTCCCCCTTCTCTCCCGGAAGGACCAGTATGTTTCAGCCAGAAAGTCGTGCTGTACTTGATGGAACTTGAGATCCCAACGTGAAGCAACCACGCCTCCCTAAGGGTAATTTAGGGTTTAGGGTTTAGGGTTTAGGATTTAGGGTTTAGGGTTTAGGGTTGAGAAAGCAAAAGCCCCAGCACCTCAAATCCATAAGTCCTAGACCCAAAGGCCCTAAACCCAAACACCAAATCGTAAGCCCGTGAATACTGAGCGAAGAACCCCGACCGCCAAACTCCTTGGCTCCAAGCTTCAAATGTGCGTTTGAAGGCGCGCATGGCCGCTCTCATCGATAGCGTGGAGACGCAGCAGTAGCTGGTTTGGCACAAGGATTAGGTTCGCTTACATGTGAGGAGAAATAGGAACACTCTATCTGACTAGCTATCTATCTATCTATCTATATATGTTTCAACAATAAGGTAGTATCCACGGTCTTCTCCATCCCCTTATTTCAGAATGGTAAGATTGGTACGCTTGCTCCAGAATTTGCTGGGATTTTGCAAGTTTTTCGAGGTTAAGCTTTAAAGCCTAAGCCCTCACAACCAGCGCCATCTTCAAGATGCGACTTTCCGGATATCTCTGCAGCTCTCGAGATCCAAAAGCACCAGATTAGATTATACATTTGCATAGTCCCCCTTAAGTAGATAGAGTATAGGGTTTAGGGTTTAGGGTTAGAATTTAGGGTTTAAGGTTTCGGATTTGTTTCAAGGTTTAGGGTTTATAGTCCCCTCAAGTAGATAGAATATGGGGTATATAGGGATCATATTTTAATATACCCAAAGCCATATCGATCTACTTGAGGGGGATTATAGACCTCAGGGCCCAAAGTAAGAAGTATTCATAGACTTAGATCCCAATGTGTCCCCTGTAGACCCCCAGTTTCAATTTCATGTTCCGTGTGAAGTTTCCATGTGTTTCTCCACTATTCATAAACCCTGAACCCTAAACCCCAATCCCTAAACCCTAAACAATTGGCATCCCCACACTTCCTCCACAATCAGATTATCTCCCTAAACCCTACGCCGTAAACCCTAAACCCTACATCGAGGGAAAATGCGGGCTTTGGGGTTCCCTGCAAATCAGGGGGCTTCTCACTTTGCGAACCTGAGCACGTAGGATCACCAAGGTTTTGGGGCTTTAAGGGTTTTAAGTATATTATATAGGGGATTATATAGGGGACTATTATAGCCTATAATAGTCCCCTATATAATCCCCTATATAGGGTTTAAATAATTTGTAGGGTTATTTAGGGGGATACTGGGAGTTTGAGTTTAGGGTTTCGGGCTTCTAAGTTGAAAGCCTGGCCTGCGCCAAAAGTTTAGGATTCTGACACCAAAAAACATTAGGTGCAGGTTTAGGGCATCTAGGGTTTAGTGTTTAGGGATAGTATACCCCAGATTAGGTTTAGGCTTGAAAGTTGTTGTGTGGCGATGACATCTGAGTAAGCGTAATAAAGCGCGTCCCGTAGTGTAGTCACCAAATCATAAAGTTGGTCTTGGAGGGTCCGGAGGACCTAGTAAGTACACTTACACGTAAGCTCTCCCAGCCATGTGCTAGCCTCTAGCATCCTCACGATTACCCTACTTACTGACTTCCCATATTTGCTTCAAGCCGATGTTCAGATTGCCGCTTTGGCAAGGATGAAGCCAAGGAGGCGCTTGGCGTCTCCTGGGCATATTTGCTCCAGCCTGCTGATGGTTTTTGGGCAGATGCTTGACGGTTGGGTCGATGTTCCTCCCAATGCCCTCCGAACCTGTCCGAGTTCACTCCTTGCTGGCCTGGTTGCAGGATTCCAGCCTGCGGCGCTTTCACGTGATTCATGCGCCCCAACACCCTAAGCAACATTATAATTCTTCCTCCATTCCATCATGCGCTGAATAGCCCTTAATTACCCAGTCCAGCCACGGACCAAGTTGGTCTTTGTGAGCCGGCTTTAGGGCTTAGATAGATAGTGGACTCTGGGATATATACGGGTCATATAGGGGTATAGAGGGGTGTTATAGGGTCTTGGCCATGGTGCTACGGGTTCAGGGTTGAAGACTCAGGGGAGGTAGTAAGTAGGTTCTAATTCAGCGGCTTCAGCGGGTCAGTCGGTTAAGAACCTGTTTATGACCTACTTACTAAGCCCCCTGTGCATGTAAGTAAGCAGTTGAGTTGCGCAAACTTGTAAGCATACATAGATTTCATGGCTGGGCCCGAAACGTAAACCATGAACCCTAAACCCACCCTAAAACCTACACCTACCCTGAAACCTAAACCCACTCTAAATCCAAAACCCTAAACCCACCCTAAACCCTAAAGCCACCCCAAACCCTGAACACATTTTTACGGTCCAGTCTAGGGCCTTGGGTTTGGCTGAGGTCAAGTGAGTTCAAAAAGCTCATCGGCAAGTTCCAGAAAAGTGCACCTTAGTCAAAGTCAGCTGAGGATTTCTGAGGCGGTGTAGGCTTTAGGGTTTTGGGTTGGCTTCTCAAATTTCTCTTTTTGTGCTGACTGAACCAAATGTTTCAGGAGTGCCGAACTGTAAGAAATGCCCACATGTACATACTTGCCCAACCATTTAAACACTCCGGAAGTTTGGGGGTTCCTCGGGTTGTGGGTATCCTTGACACCTGAGCCATGCATGAAATCAAGACAGAAATTCAGGGTTGATTTGCCATTGGGCAGCTGTTGGATGTGAGCCCTGCATGTTTCTTATGCTAACACCCAATAAGGAAACGAAAGCTAGTTGTTGTACACGTATCCCTTACCTGGACCCTCCAATGTACTTCCTTTTTGGGTTTGGTATGGTTTTTTGGTTAGGACTCTTATTAGGACTACCAAAAAGGTACTACATTGGAGGGTCTAGGTAAGCATCCAAGGACGCAGATAATATGGTTTTAGGGCCCAAATAGTATAATACGAATGGTATTTGGGCCCTAAACCCCAATTATTTGGGTCCTGGGACCCTTATATAGTCCCCTCATATCCCTATACATCCCCCTACAATCCCCTTGAAAGGGACCCGATTATTTGGGTCCTGGGACCTTTAGAGGAAAGGTAAGAATCCGCCCTAAACCCTATAGTCCCCTTAAGTAGATAGAATATGGGGTATATGGGATCTTACTATAATATACCCAAAGCCATATTCTATCTACTTAGAATCCCTTCATGGTGTTCAGATTTTGTAGTTTGGGCCAATGCAGGGCTCCGACTTGGTCTGCTCAGAGCTTAGGATTTAGGGTTTAGGGTTTAGGGCTTAGGGTTTAGGGTTTAAGAGTTAGGGCTTAGGGTTGAAGGGTTCAGGGCTTTCGGTTTAGGGACAAGTTTGGGCAGATGTTTGCATGGGAAGCTTGAGACTCCACTCCAGAAGAAACTTAGACCCTAAACCTTAAAACCTAAACCTTAAGCCTTAAACTGTAATTCCTGAAGCCCAAACCTTAAACCCTGAGCTTTAACCCCTAAACCCTAAACCTTATAACCCTAAACCAATTTGCACGGCCTTGAAGTTTGGTGTTTTTGGATGCACGGTTAAGGTTTTTTTGAGGGGGTCTGGAGTGTACTCTGGATTAGGCCCCCAGCCAGTAATAGTGGTATACTAGGAATACACAGAGGCCCAAATACAATTACCATTATCTCTTGTGGTCACTATTACTGGGTGCGGGCCCAACCTAAAGTGTACTAATCGATCCTTACACTTACCCGGGATGGTCTGTGCCTTTTTGGCCATGGGGTTTCCTTACATGCCTGCGCACAACAAGGATCTTCCTCTTCTCAGGTTAGATTGGGCCTAAATTTCGGGTTTGCAATTCTACTGTTGATGCTGAACATCTTGCATGACCCTAGCCTACTATAGCACCATAGTTCCCAAGGCTTAAGGTGCGTAGAGTCATGCGGGCTTTTTCTTTATCAGCTGTAAACCCTAAACCCTATGTATGGAATCGGTTTTGCTCGGACATGACCGGTAGGAAAAGAGCGCTGCAAAAAATAATTACACGTCCCTATACTCCCTTCAAAGTTCCAAAGAGACTTTATACACACATATATATATAAATGTTTTAAACAGACCCCTTATTGTCCCCAAGTATCCATCGTAGCTTCCAGTTGAAGATCCATCGGGCAGGATCTTGCCCACGGTAGACTCCTGGTCCCTAGGCCCTACACGCCCAAGCTGACATGGAAACCTAAAAATGCCGTTCAGGGTTTAGGGTTTAGGGTACAAGGACAGCCGTCCTTTTAGAAAAGATTGTTGTATGGGGTTCCCTGATAGTTTGCAGGGAACAAACTCCCTTCCGCCAAGTGAACACCTGCAGGCATCCAATCGACCTTGCGGTCCCTCTTGTTGCTCTTGCTTTCGACAGACCTCTGAGCCCAAGGGACCCCGCAACCTCCATATCAGATGTCCTCACGGGTCTGCTCTTCCTTCAACCTTCCCCAAACAATTCGCCCTACTTACACCTAAACCCTAAACCCTAGATAGTATTTTCCATTTTCCTCTCCATTATCCCAATAAAACCCAAATGTAACCCCTAGTATAACCCTATAGACCTTATAAATCCCTTTAAAAGGATTATTACCCCAATATAGCCCCAATAGAACTAAACCCTAAACCCGAAACCCACTACTCCTTGGACCCTAAACCCAGAGGACAGACCCGTGTCTGCTGCTGTATCCACAAACAAGCATGGAAGCCGTATGGGTCGTTGTCCAAATTAGCCCCATCGAATCCTGAAAGGGATGCCCAGAATATTTGTTTGAAGCGTTTTTCGCACAGCCGATCTGGGCTTCCATGTCCGTTTAGGAGGGGTTAAGCCCCCTAACCTCAACACCATGGAGCTTTGCGTGGCTAAACCTGAAGACCCCAAACCCCAAACCTTGGGTCATTCCCCCACCCAGCAACTGTCCTTGAAGGGGGCCTTACTAAGGGGCCATTATAATTCCTATTACCCCTTGTGGTAACTGTTACTGTAAGGGGGAATAACTCAACCTAAACCCTAAAGCTCAGAGCCTATTCAAGCGGCTTGAGGCGCCAAAAGCAATCTTTGAACCAGAATCCTCCCGCGTCAACCCCAGGGTTTAGGGCCTTACGGTTTGGGGTTTAGGGTTTAGGATTTAGGGTTTAGAATTTAGGATATCTAGGGTTTAGGATTTAGGGTTTAGGATTTAGGGTTTAGGATTTAGCGTTTAGGGTTAATTTACATCCTAGACCCTATTATCCCTTGTCCCCCAAGCGTGTAAACCCAAACACGCACTTCAAACCCTCAACTCAACCCCACAACTTATCTCCCCCTGAGGGTCGAAGTTCCTAATATTCATATACTTGCCCAAACCTTGTAGTATAATTACTATTACCCAAAACCCAGGTACCTAATTATTGGGTACTTGGACCCTAAACCCTATATACCCCTATATATCCATATACATATCCCTATAGACCCCCTTTAAAGGGGACCTAGTGGTACTTGGACCCTCCCCTACTCGTAGACCCTAAACCCTAAACCCTAAACCCAAACTTATCCACCCTTTGGCCAACCAAGTTGACGTGGGGTGACTGGGGTGGCCATAGCTTCACTCTGACCATTGAGGCCTGAGGGTTTAGGGTTTAGGATTTAGGGTTTAGGGTTTAGGGTTGAGGGTTTGGGGTTTAGGGGTTTAGGGTTTGGGGTTTGGGGTTTAGGGTTTAGGGTTGAGGCCTGAGGGGTGGGTAAAAGGTAGACTGAGGGTTTGTGTTTAGGGGTTTACGAATCAGGGGAGTGGACTTAGGTTCTAAGCTGACCCCACTTTCCTTTGCATTTTCTATCATTTCATATATAGCCCCAATACAGTATAGTAGGTTCCATTTTATTTTCCACTCTTCCTTATATAACCCCAAGATACTATAGTAGTTTCCATTTTATTTTCCTTTATTCCTGATATAGCACTGTAAATCACACCCATGCGCGCAACAGTCCTTGCCTTCGGGAGCCTAAAGTTTTCCAAACTCCCCATACATGCCAGTCAAGATCAAAGTACTTGTGGGAATAATCTCGGGGGGCTTTCAAATATTCCTTAACTGGCTTAGGGTTTCGGGTGCTTTCAGATATTCCTTAACTTAATGTTATTTTCTTGCCATCCACAGGGGCTTATTTATGAGGTGAGCAGTCTCCGTAACTCCCATGTAATGATTTTCAGGTGCCCTGGTATCTTTCGATAGGAGTGCTATACGAGGCTCATGGAGGACCACCCACTTTTTGGTTCTGGTGCTTGAATGTTTGTCATCCGGTCTACGTCAGACAGAACCCTAAACCCTGAACCAGACATGGGGTTGCTCAAGTTAGAAGTCTGCGCATTCAGGACGGCCCACCGTTGAGAATGTTCTACTTCTAGACCATGGAAGTGTTTGTTAATGTGAGTTTTGGGCCGCTCGTAAGGTAAGGATTTGCACCTCAATACCGGATCCCCCATATGGTTCGGATTTTAAGGTTCAGGTATTCCAATATCTTATCTTTAGGCCCCCCCCAGAAGCCCTGCAGAAAGCCCTTCATCTAGGGGTTTGAATGGCAATTGTCAATTGTTTCAGTACTTGTGGTTGTGGCCCTGGTGCTTGGAGGGTCCTGCACACTTCGTAAGTAGGTACGCTTGCTGGGCACGCGGAACCTCAGGGCAAGTACTTGAACGCGCCCGCAGGGCACATGTACCTACATGGTCGTTTCCTGAATAGAGTGACCCCACTGGGCCCAGAGTTTTTACAAATTACCCTAAACTCTAAAAAGGATTTTTGAGGCACGTCAGGGTCAGCCCCCCCCTCCCGTGAGGAGTCGGGGCGCGCGGTTTTCGAGGAGCGAATCTTGCATGCAATTTTTGGAAAGCCCTATAGGGCTCCAGTTACCTAAACAGTGGGTTCTAGGTTCTGTATACTCTATAGTTACATGGCTCAGTAACCTACTATTTAGGTAACTGGGCGCCTTAGAGCAGGTGATTGCACAGATGGACCGGATAGGCCATTACATGAGGGTTCCCATTCTTCCGTGGTCCTGGAACACTAACATAGATCCCGAGGTGCCATGATCGTGTTTAATAGCTACCCCACCACGAACAGGTACCCCCTCTTTTCAGAAACCACCATGTGTTTATGAGGGGCCAAGGCAGCTGAGACTATTAGGTTGGGCGTCTTGCATGAGTCCAGTATCAGAAGGTTCAGTGGTTTGAGGTTTAGGGTTTAGGGTTTGAGTCCACTGGTTTGGAGACGTACTGCTTTGGCAGTTGGTGCTGAGGGTTGGGAGATGTCTGTGTAGTCGCGTTGGGGATGGGACGGGATACTACTCACATGAATCATAATTTAAACTCCTGAAAGGGGGCTTATGTAGGAGATTATATACGGGACTACTATACGGGTTATTAGGGGGGATACTAGGAGCTTAGACTATAACCCGTATAATCCGTCTATATAATCCCAGTTTCCATTTCATTTTCCATTTTCTTTTCCGTTTGACTCTCCATTATGAAAGGGGGATACTAGGAGTTTAGACTATAGCTCATATGGCTTTGAAATCCTAAACCCTAAACCCTAAACCTTAAACCCTAAACCCTAAACCCTAAACCCAAGAAACCAACTCTTATGAGGCGAGAAGGCGCTGCGACAGCTCTTTTCGCAGCCTCAACGCCTGGCTCTGGCGGTGACCTCAGTTGGGGCGTCCGACTTTCAGGGGGATTTAGGGTTTAGGGTTTTGGAGGATTTAGGATTTAGGGTTTAGGGTTTAGGAGGATTTAGGGTTTTGGGTTTAGGGTTTAGGAGGATTTAGGGTTTAGGGTTTAGGATTTAGGGTTTAGGGTTTAGGAAGATTTAGGGTTTAGGGTTTAGGAGGATTTAGGGTCTAGGGTTTAGGAGGATTTAGGGCTTAGGATCTAATGTTCAGGATGAAAGGCTGAGTGTCTAGGAGTTTAGGATTTAGGGTTTAAGGTAGGGGTTTTGGATTTAGGGCCTTGGGATTAGGATTTGGGCGCAGTGCTCAAGATGTAAGAATTTACGGTGTTGGTCGTCTATGTTGAGGGTTTAGGCCTGACTGGTGCTCAAGGGGCTTACAAAGGAATTTGGAGAAACTGGGTCTGAAACTTTCGAAGGGATATAATATGAGCGGTTTTGCGCTCAAGGGGTTGGAATTTAGGCTCTGCGGTCTAGAGGTTCAGGGCTCAGTTGTGCAGAGTTAGTCTCGCGTCTGAAGCTCGTGGGGGAGTGATGGGTAGTTGGAGCTTATGGGGTTTGGCGTCGTAGTCTGATGAAGGATCAGGAGCTGGGAATCGTGGAGTTTAATGTTGGGTCTTTGAGGTTTAGGGCGGGTGTGAGGGCTTCACGTTCCCTAGACCTTAAACCCCTATAACCTAAACTGAAAGCCCAGGGTCCCAGGGTGCAAAGTTGAAGGTCTGGTCTGGGCATCAGGACGCCTCTTTGCGATATGGGGTCTTATGGGTTAATGAGTAATTCAGGTTTAGGCTGTTTAGGGTTTGGGACTTAGATCTGTGTAGCTTTTTTATGGTGGCATGGAATGTACGAACAGTCTGACGACTTCTCTAGCTTGAGCGCTGTGCCAGGGCCCTGTTCCGAATGCATGGGCATATTAAGCCTAGTATGGCGCAAACCTTTATTGTGCCTGTGATCATGCGACTTTGCTTTGCAGTTGTCGTTGAAGAACCAATGCTGCAATGATGACGGACGCAGGTGTTGTGATGGTTCAGGATCTAGGTTAGCACAAGGATTGCCTGTATAGATATGGGGCAGTCCTGAGTCTGAATCTAGGGTGCGGGGCTAGAAATCAGGGGTTTGGAGGGCACCGTTGCTTTGACAACTTCAGCTTGGATGCAGCTCCGAACTGGAATAATCAAACGGCAGGAATATCTTGCTGAGCTGTCTTCCGGAACTGGGGGAAAAAGACGCCAATCCATTGGATTTCCTGTGCAGAAGCTGCAGCATTACTTTATGCAAGCCCTACCTGTAACCCCAATTACCTACAGTTTAATCGTAATTACCCCTTAATTAGTAGGTATAACCCATAGAACTGTAGGTAATTGGGGTCACAGGTACACCTTGGAGTAGGCTGATGGAGCAACGTGTCAGGGCGACCCGCAAAGAGTGGGTCCATGATCCTGAGAGCCTCGCTGACCCACTTAGGGTTAGTTGGGGCTTAGGGTTTAGGGTTTAGGGTTTAGGGATCCAACCTAATCCTACAAGGTTCCTGAAAATAGTTGTTAATATCTGTTACTTAGAATCCTACTATTTAGCTGAAATTATAATTTCTACTGGGCCTTAGAGAATCCACAAGCCCCCAAAATCCTTGAGCTGTAAGCCCTGGCTTAGCCCTTAAGCCCTCTGAACCATCAGCCCGGGACCTAAAGGCCCAGGCCCTACGCCCCAATCCCAGACCTCCACACCAAATTCCCTCTAAACCCTGAACAAAAGCCCGAATCCCTGATTCCTACGCCCAAGCTAAGCTCGTATCCCCAATCCCTGCACCCCCAAGCTCCACCCCCCGAACTATGGCCCTATCAGCTCTGGAACCTCACTCCACACTCAGCACCCTTGCTGGACCTCCCATGCAAATACTCAGACCAATAGCCCGTACACCGTCCACCCTGAACCCTAAATCGGTGTCTTGGGGTTAAGAGGTATCTTTATGATAATAAGGTACACCCCACCTGCACCTTTGGTCTACCTGCACCTTCCCACCGGACCTACATGTACAACCCGAAAAGGGTGGTTTACAGGGTCTGTTTAGGGGTTAGGGTTTAGGGCTTAGCGCTTAGGCTTAGGGCTTAGCTTTTGGGGGTTAGGGTTTAGGGCTTTGAGTTTAGGGCCTAGGGTTTGGGGCGTAGGGTTTAGGGATCAGATACGGATGTAAAGAGTGTAGAGTATCTTCTCCGCAAACCCCAAAGTGTAAACCCTTAATCCCCGATACTCTAAACCCTCAAACCATTAAAGCCTTGAACCTTAAATTCTGTGCCCTAGACCTTTAACCCTAAACCCCAAACCCTGAGACCTGAACCATATATCCCAAACCCTAAACCGTAACCCTAAGCCCTAAGCCCATAAACCTTCAGGCCTAGACCATAATCTAAGGGTAGAAGTATGGGCCCCTAGTATGGGCCCTTAGGCCTTTTTAGGGACCCTTACGGGTACATATAGGGTATATAGTAGGTATCTAAGGATCCCAGGGTTAAGGGCCCATACTAGGGGCCCATGGTTTTAAACTTAGATAAAACCGTTGTGGAACCCAGGAGCGCTTCGTGAAGCGCGGCGGCGCAGGCGACGCATCGAAACCGGGCGCAGAGGCGGCGGCCGGACCGGGCCTTTGGGACATAGAGGCTCTGGGGAATGTAGTGGTGGTTCTAGGGAATATAGCGGGGAGTATAGCTAAGATAGGGGATATCGCGCTGAGTTATAGGGAATATCAGGATTATAGGGTTTTGCATTCTGGCTTTAAGGTGTATACGGTGTGAGATTTACGGGCTGAGGGATGAGTGTTTATAGAGGCTAGGCTAGGGTACAGGGGTTTAGGGGCTCAGGCTGTAGGGCTTGGGGTTGCAGGGTTTTTGGGGGTTCAAGAGGTTCTGGGGTTCAGGCTGTACGATATGATGTTTGTTACCTCTCTTGGCAGAAGGTATTTTGGGCCCCGGGCGGGTTCCTTTTTGGGGTTTTGAAAGTTGCCCCTACTTCAGGATCCCTTACAGAAGTGAAAGGGTACATATATGTATTTTTTTTCGAGCTTGCGGGTTTAGGTTTGAATTTCTGGGAGTTTTGTGGTTTAAGGGTGTAGGGCTTTGAGACTTCGTGGATTACTGTAGAACCTTGATACAGAGAATCTAGGACGATAATGTTGGGGGTAGCTAATCAGTGTCAGGCTTCTTCAGCGATTGTGGTACAGGGAATCGGATTAACCCTAAACCCTAAACCCAAACCCTAAACCCTAAATCTTTCCCCGACCTGCTCACGGGGTGATGGGGATGTACAGGATTCAGGGTTTCTGGCTTAGCGATCCATCATCACGGCTGTAAAGTTTAGAGTAGAGCTGCGGGTTTGGGGTTCATGCATGAAGGGTCTGGTGAGTAGAGGGGTTCAGTGGTTTGGACTGTAGGGCTGCGGGGTTGTGGGATTCGGGGCTGTTGGGAATTGGGGCTTGGCTTTAAGAAATGGAAGGTTGGCGGTTTTGAATTTGGGGTTCTATGTTTCAGGATGATACGTTTAAGGTCATTATTGTCCAGGACGGCTTAGAGGTGAGAATGTAGGCGCCTTGGTTCCTCTGCAGGCTTTCTTTGGAGAAGACGTGGGTGTTTCTCAAGAATGCAGATATGCATTATATACAGTATGTACATTATATACATGATATACATTATTGAACATTTTGTACATTATCCATTCTATACATTGTATACATTATATACATTATATACATCATGTACGTTATTTGCAGTATATACATTTACATACATCATATACATTTATATACACTATATAGAATATATACATTATATGGGTTATATACATTGTATGGATTATATACATTATATCGATTATATACATTTTAGAGGTTTTATGCATAAGACACATAGATGTATACACAATACACATGTATCAATAGTAAACTGCACAGCCAGTATTTTGGGTACGCTTTGGGGCCTTCGTGATTCTGAACTCTGAACGAAATGGAGTCTGAAATTCGGGACTGGTACATGGATAGCTGCTCGTTCGTCAGAGAGACTGCAGGGTGCTCAATGTTTGGCTATGTCTGGTGCATAGCCTATGCCCCAGACCATCCAGCGTTTTGCGGGCTCCATCCTCTACCGACATTTAGTGTTTGGTACCCAAGTCCCCGCAACTTGGCCATTTCGCCACTATTACCAGGATTCAAGGAACCAATTATACAATTCCAGACACAAACTCCCATTGCATTGTATATTCTTCTTGTGTTTCTTCTTACTCCGGCTACTCTTACCACCACAACTACTGCGACCGCTAGAAACCCTAACCATCATCCCAATTTTTCAGACGCGACAGGCCAAGCAGACAGCCTTGCCTCAGGCACACTTGTCCTACTCGAAGGTACAGGGGACTTAGTGAGTAGGTGATAAATGGGTTACAAGTACCCCAATTGGGCTTGGTTTGTTCATATTCTCCATTGCAACCTGCTTAGAAAGTTCCCTGCGCCTCCTGTTTTGGCACTACTACGTCCCTGGAGCTATGGGAGTTCCAGTCTACTGTAGGGGTCGGAATACTAACCACTAGTATGGTACGAGATTCCATGTCAATGTATTTAAAGGCTAGAGGGGACATCACATAGATCTCAAAGTAAAATTGGCAGTTATTAGCGTTCTGGCCTCCAATTACGGGGTGTGAACTTATGTAAGGTCTACTGGGTGTGCAGCTTTAGGCCTTAAGTACGGCCTATGAAGTTTGTGGATCCAGGCCGGAAGACTTAGGATGTGGCTGTTTGCCAATGTTGCTGCTTTAGGGTTTAGGAGTTTAGGATTTAAGGTTTGGGGGGTTTAAGGCTTAGGGTGTAGGGCTTTCCGGAAAGTCTCAGGGCTCCGGAAAGTCTGAGGGCTCCGGAAAGTCTGAGGGCTCCGGATGGCCAAACAAAAATAAACCGCCATCCGGAGTCGTTGTGGGGTCCAGTCACGACAACTCTTCCCATCAGTCTCGTGAAGACAAGCGCATGGGGTTCCAGATCAAGCTGGACAATCGAGAGGAGCAAGTACAGAGGCCCAGGCGGGAGATTGATCTGCGACCATGCAGACCACCCATCAGGTGCCATGACTGCCCCTGCAGGCAAACTTGACAATGGCGACGATGCAGTTGGGTGCCGTGACGGCCGCGAAAGCAGCTCTCAAAGAGCCTCCAAAATGGGTGGGCCCCTGGGGATATTTAACATTTTCCCTCATGGCCTTAATAAGGGACCCTATATGGTAGTTTCCCTAAATTACTGTTCCCAAAATGGGGGAAATTTATATAGGGCCCCGTATTATAATGGAACCCAAATATAGGACCCCGTATTATAGGGAATTTAGACCAATCCCCATATACCAATATTTTTCAAAGGGTTTTAGGGGCCAACCCAGACAAGGCAGTTTCAGCTTAGCTCCTGGGCTGCTTCTGTTATTCTCACTTCTCACTTCCAAGTCTGCAGCTCGGACTGATGGTCAGTGTTGGGATATCATAGGGTTATATTAGGGTTTTATTGGGGCTATATAGGGATAATGGAAAAGAAAATGGAAACTACTATTTAAGGTTTAGGGTTTAGTCCCCCTTAAGTAGATATATTCTGGGGTATATGGGGATCTTATTAGAATATACCCAAAGCCATATTCATCTGATTAAGGAGGAGTATAGGCGCCGTAGAAGGATGAATCTTTAAGAATGCTGTCCCTTTACACTCCTTATAGACCTGTTGTATCGGGAGCCCTGAACCTGAAAGCGTATCGGAGTGCTTGCTTCATTTACAAGGGTAGTTTGGTAGCCCCACCCCAAGAAGTCAGAACTATGCATATCACTTGACTACAGTAGGGCCACTGCTGGCACAACCCGAGTTGGTTATCTAAGGTATATCCTCCCTCAAACAAATATGGACCACCTCTAGGCACCTCGCAGAGAAAGAGGAGTCCATGCAAATCTCGATGTTTTTCTGGGGGGGGGGGTTACGCATAAACCCATTCATTGTTGAAACCGAGGACTCGTGTATTCCAGGAACCCAGCACTGAGAATCATCCACACTTGTCGTAAATCCTTTGACGTCCCGTAGCCCAAGACTAAAAAGCCGAAACCCGGCCCAACCTGTACTACTGTAAGCTCCCTGGCATATTCAGTAACAGAAGTAGCATAATGTTCATACATGTTTACGACCGGCCAAGATGTAAATACAACTTGTGAGGAAGCCCGGTGAAAAGACTGCACATTCTACCCTGCACCAAACTGCTAAGATAGAATCCTCTGAAGGCTCACGTCAACTGGAGAGTTGTCTTGATGACGAGCTTGGGGATTTCCATTGTTATTTTGGGCGCGTTCAACTAGGCCCCTTCGTACATATCACTTGTACATAACCCTGCTGGGGTTTCATGTTAGTTTTGGCAGGCATATGACCTCAACAAATCCCGATACGCGATTGCTGTATCGAACACCCTTTTCCCTGAACCTCAAGGTAAACCCCAAGCCTTAAGTCCGAAACCTTGAATTCCATAATTCTCCTAAACCGTACATCCAATTCCTACATCCTAAGCCTTATGCCCCGCATCCGGAATCAAAAGACCCGAAGTATGTAGATAAGTTGCCGATTTCATCTCCTTTTAAAGTTCAAACCCTCAACCCCAAACCCTAAAACCTAATCCCTAGACCTGTGCACCAGAAAACCTGATCTCGAAACCCCAAATTCCGCATTTCTTGTTCCGGAAGAGCTTGCTACAGGCTCAGGCTAGCCCCCAGCGTCGACGAAACCAAGGAGCGTGATGGGTTTGGGTCTTATCGCTTAGGGCTTTGGGTTTGAGGCTTACCTAACTAACCATTCCACCCTTGGACTTGTTTGGGGTTTTAAGGTTCAGGAGGATAGGTGGGGGTGCTTAGGATAACCCATAACCCAAAACCCTAAACCGCGAAGGCTTCGGGAGAGTCGGGACTTGTGTGTGGGACGGGGGCCCATCGCTTTAGGGTTTACCTGGACCCCCAAAGTATGTAGAATAATGGCCTTTTGGGCTATATTTAGGGGTTTTGGGCCATGTTTTTACCTACTTTGGGGGTTTAGGTAGTTTGGTTTCGTGTAGAAGTCTGTAATGGGTGGTTCTGATTATAAAGCCCCCCCCC